GTACTATGTTTGGTGACATGTTGTTGACTTGTACTGTTTGGGTGACATGTAGATGTTGACAGTGTACAGTGTTAGTGTACATACTGTTGTTTAGTGACATGTAGATGTTGACAGTTTGGTGACATGTAGATGTTGACAGTTGTACTAATGTTTGGTGACATGCAGATGTTGACAGTTGTACTAGTGTTTGGTGACATGTGTGTACTACTGTTTGGTGACATGTAGATGTTGATAGTTGTACTACTGTTTGGTGACATGTAGATGTGACAGTTGTAAACACTGCATGTAGTAGATGTTGTCAGTTGTACTACTGTTTGGTGACATGTAGATGTTGATAGTTGTATACTGTTTGATAGTTGTTGACAGTTGTACTACTGTTTGGTGACATGTAGATGTTGACAGTTGTACTAGTGTTTGGTGACATGTAGATGTTGACAGTTGTACTAGTGTTTGGTGACATGTAGATGTTGACAGTTGTACTAGTGTTTAGTGACATGTAGATGTTGACAGTTGTACTACTGTTTGGTGACATGTAGATGTTGACAGTTGTACTATTGTTTGGTGGCATGTAGATAACGGCAGTTGTACTACTGTTTGGTGACATGTTGATGTTGGCAGTTGTACTACTGTTTGGTGACATGTTGATGTTAGCAGTTTTACTACTGTTTGGTGACATGCAGATGTTGACAGTTGTACTACTGTTTGGTGACATGTTGATATTGGCAGGTGTAGTATTTGTAAATGACATTATCCATTGACCAGGCCAGTCTGTTGACCAGCACCGGACGTTTCGGTCATGTATAAAGCGTAGTGAGATTTTGAGTCACGTGTAGACCAATGCAGGGCTATGGGACACGTGCACCCGTCCCCCCTTCACCCTTACCTCAGTCTCACGTTACAGAATGCAAGCAGCATGTGTGTCTGTCTGTGGATGTGTGTCAGTGTCTGAAGATGTGTGTGTGTGTGTGGATGTCTGTGTGTGCGTGCGTGTGTGTGTGTGGATGTGTGTGTGTGAGACAATAAATCACCACCAAACTCGATGAAGTAGTGCCAGGTTGCCGGCAATGCTGTCTATGTTGGCCTGATTCATAGACAGGACATCGGAGTCCTAGTTGTCACTGCGACCTTGTTTATAAAACCGGACAGTCAATGCCCTGAGCTTTTCTAGTGGACACATACGCTTGTATGAGGTATTCTTTTAATATGCTCAGTGTTTCTGTGCTTCTTCTTCTTCTTCTTCTTCTTTCGTTCGCTTGAATTAGATTATGTATATCTGCAATGTTGTCTCTAGTATGAACTTCACTGTCTTTTGTAATTCACTCAGCGACCCGTAAAGTTTGGCTTACGCTGGTATTTCTTTTGACAAAAAGTTTTGCATTGATATGTTGTATTTTGGACAGTACTCATAAAAGTTTTTCATGTCAATTCATTTAAAGACAGCGTTTTAAGCAGACTGAATTGCATTGACCACTTGTACATTATCTGGAAGATGTGGTCGAGTAAGAGGTAGAGGGTTGCCTACATACCCCTAGGTCTACGGTTCAAACTCTTATCGTGCCGTATGTGCTGAGAATTGACATTGACCGCCAGGTCGACACAACCTAAAACGAAGGGTGAAACATATTCTAGGAAGAAAAGGCGACTGTTAGGACGTTGACTATATCACCAACACAGTGTTGAGTTATCCATTTTAAAAATAGATAAATGTTTCTAAAATGGATTTCACTGCACATTAGTCATTCCCGTACGTGGTCAGCCCTCTAATGCAGCCACCCCACGGTTCTCCTACTATAGTTCCCATGAGAAGTTAGATAACATGTCTCCTATCTCGGCCTCGAAAAAGACCTAGACGTGCTTCACCATGCTTCACACCCATGTCACACAATCATGTTAATGTCAGAGATTCGTCATTATCCACTAGCCAAGTCCTTATAATTTTGATGATATCAGGTGTGCCCTTGTTTTTTCCCACATGCGTTGGTGCGCTGCTTGCCAGTTGGTCCGCTCGCCCGTTACCCTTCACTCCAGCATGACTAGGTGTGCAGATCCAGGTCGGTGAGTTATAGTGCGATATTCAAATGCTTTCTACCCATTAAGAGGCCCTGCTGCATGTTGCTATCTTAGGAAGCATGTTCACAGAGTCTGATACAGTTAGTGCCTGTGTGGCTGTTTGCTCTGCTGCCCATGCTAGAGCTCTAGTAGCAGTGGCTGTCTCCATGGTCATGTTTGACGTGGTACAATGGTAAACGCCGCTGTCATCTTTTTAAATATAGATGCAGCACTATAGTCTCTGTACCAGTGCTAGAGCACACACGAATTTTAGGCTCTGTACCAGTGCTAGAACAAACACGAATTTTAGGCTCTGTACCAGTGCTAGAACACACACGAATTTTAGGCTCTGTACCAGTGCTATAACACACACGCATTTTAGGCTCTGTACCAGTACTATAACAAACACGAATTTTAGGCTCTGTACCAGTGCTAGAACACACACGAATTTTAGGCTCTGTACCAGTGCTAGAACAAACACGAATTTTAGGCTCAGTACCAGTGCTAGAACAAACACGAATCTTAGGCTCTGTACCAGTGCTAGAACAAACACTAATCTTAGGCTCTGTACCAGTGCTATAACAAACACGAATCTTAGGCTCTGTACCAGTAATAGAACAAACACGAATCTAAGGCTCTGTACCAGTGCTAGAACAAACACGAATCTTAGGCTCTGTACCAGTGCTATAACAAACACGAATCTTAGGCTCTGTACCAGTGCTAGAATAAACACGAATCTTAGGCTCTGTACCAGTGCTAAGAATAAACACTTAGGCTCTGTACCAGTGCTAGAACAAACACGAATCTTAGGCTCTGTACCAGTACTAGAACAAACACGAATCTTAGGCTCTGTACCAGTGCTAGAATAAACACGAATCTTAGGCTCTGTACCAGTGCTAGAACAAACACGAATCTTAGGCTCTGTACCAGTACTAGAACAAACACGAATCTTAGGCTCTGTACCAGTGCTAGAATAAACACGAATCTTACTCTGTACCAGTGTGAACAAACACGAATCTAGGCTCTGTACCAGTGCTAGAACAAACACGAATCTTAGGCTCTGTACCAGTGCTAGAACAAACACGAATCTTAGGCTCTGTACCAGTGCTAGATAAACACGAATCTTAGGCTCTGTACCAGTGCTAGAACAAACACGAATCTTAGGCTCTGTACCAGTGCTAGAATAAACACGAATCTTAGGCTCTGTGTACCAGTGCTAGAAAAGAACAAACACGAATCTTAGGCTCTGTACCAGTGCTCGAACAAAACAACACGAATCTTAGGCTCTGTACCAGTACTAGAACAAACACGAATCTTAGGCTCTGTACCAGTGCTAGAATAAACACGAATCTTAGGCTCTGTACCAGTGCTAGAACAAACACGAATCTTAGGCTCTGTACCAGTACTAGAACAAACACGAATCTTGGGCTCTGTACCAGTGCTAGAATAAACACGAATCTTAGGCTCTGTACCAGTGCTAGAACAAACACGAATCTTAGGCTCTGTACCAGTGCTAGAATAAACACGAATCTTAGGCTCTGTACCAGTGCTAGAACAAACACGAATCTTAGGCTCTGTACCAGTGCTAGAATAAACACGAATCTTAGGCTCTGTACCAGTGCTAGAACAAACACGAATCTTAGGCTCTGTACCAGTGCTAGAATAAACACGAATCTTAGGCTCTGTGCCAGTGCTAGAACAAACACGAATCTTAGGTGAAGAAGAGGCAGGTGTTGATCAGCTGGACAGTTGGACACCATATATTGGAAGCAGCCTGGGCTTAGAAGTTGATGAGTAGGGAATCGTTAGCAGGGGATTGAGTGACTTTGTGACGTTTTGTGATGAGAGCGACGTTCAGCACAGGACCTGCAACATGAGGATGATGATGCAGTGATAATGATTTTGAATATTAAATTCAAAACAAAACTGACTGTAGTTCTCTGTGCTGGAGAAATCGCATACAAAGACAGATAGACATATAGACATACATATAGAAAGACATATAGACAGACAGATGACAGGTTGATATCTTGACACATCCTTTAACTTGAACTGTATGATTTTCGTGTGTTAAATAAGAGAGCAGCCATCTTGCCTGTAGCAACATACCGATGTGTAAAGTAAAAAAAAAAGTAAAGTAACGGACCCTTTTCCACGCTGTCAGGCTTAAAGGGCATATAGGGCTAGACCTATATTTTTTATAGACCAATCGGCACAAGATGGATGATGTGGTCAAAATCACGCCGGCCGCCTTTACTTTCCCGGGACTACACCAGGTACCCAATCAAGGCTGGGTCGACCTGGGAGCCAAGGTCATTGCTGAAAAAAGTCCGGCTCCGCCAGGGAGCGAACCCACGACCTTGCGATCCGCGACGAGCGTCTAGCCGCTCTGCCACGGCGACTCCCATACGGATGTGAGTCGTGGACTATCTCCGAGTCGTGAAGACATGAGAAGTAAAATGCTTGTGAACTGAAATGCTAAAGGAAGATTGCCAGAATACCAGGGACAAAGAAGATACTAAAAACTGTCATTTTAAAAGATCTGAACGTCAAGGAAGATTTGCTAATAAAAAGTATCCTGTCTCTGAAGCTAAAATATTTTGGTCATATAACTGGAAAAGCTATAGCAGAAAGCATGGTACCAGGAAGGAAGGACAGGGGCCGACCAACACACAGATAAGCACAAGATATTTATGTCTTCTTGAAACTGAAAGTGCGCGAGGTGGGAGAGCTGCGAGAGAAGTCATTTGTTTCAGGCAGACCGTAATGAGAGCGACGTTCTGCAAACTACCTGCTAAATAAGGATGACGAAACAAGAGACACGCTCTGACAGCTGTTACGTTTGCTCTCGCTTACCTGCTCCTATTCACAACTGTATACCCGTTATAAAGTGACATCATTTGCTTATTCTGACTGTTTTATTTGTCAACACACCCTCTGTTTTAGCCAACATGATTCACAGACAGGTGAACGTCGCGTTGGTTGTCACTTTGGTCTGCCAGTGGTTTCGAACAGCCACCGCTCATGGTCGACTGTGGGAGCCCCCCTCTCGTAGTAGCATGTGGAGGAGAGGGTGGGATACTCCAGCCAACTACAATGACATGCAGCTTTTCTGTGGAGGGTTTGATGTAAGTCCATCTCTCTGGTCAACTCATGTTACCTGACGTAGTCGCGCTGCCTTCAGTCAACATTTCTCAAGTGACTGTTTTTGAAATCTACCACACAAATATCCAGATTCCACACAACATATCTACCACACAAATGTCCAGTATCCCAAAGACGTATCTCCCACACAAATGTCCAGTATCCCAAAGACGTATCTCCCACACAAATATCCAGATTCCACACAACATATCTCTAACATAAATGTTCAGTATCCAAAAGACATATCACCCACACAAATGTCCATTATCCACACGGCATATCTCCCACACAAATGTCCAGTATCCACACGGCATATCTCCCACACAAAAGTCCAGTATCCACACGGCATATCTCCCACACAAAAGTCCAGTATCCATACGATATATCACCCACACAAATATCCAATATCCACACAGCATATCTCAGACACAAAAGGCCAGTATCCACACGACATATCACCCAAACAAATATCCAATATCCACACTATATATCACCAACACAATTATTCAATATCAACACGGCATATCTCACACACAAAAGTCCAGTATCCACACGACATATCACCCAAACAAATATCCAATATCCACACTATATATCACCCACACAATTATCCAATATCCACACGGCATATCTCACACACAAATGTCCAGTATCCACACGGCATATCTCCGACACAAATCCAGTATTCACACGGCATATCTCCCCCACAAATATCCAGTATTCACACGGCATATCTCCCACACTTTTGTCCAGTATTCACACGGCATATCACCCACACAAATGTATAGTTTTCACACGGCATATCTCCCACACAAATATCCAGTATTCACACGGCATATCTCCCATACAAAAATCCAGTATCCACACGGCATATCACCCACACAAATGTATAGTTTTCACACGGCATATCTCCCACACAAATATCCAGTATTCACACGGCATATCTCCCACACAAAAATCCAGTATTCACACGGCATATCACCCATACAAATGTCCAGTATCCACACGGCATATCTCCCACACAAAAGTCCAGTATCCCCACGGCATATCTCCCACACAAAAGTCCAGTATCCACACGGCATATCTCCCACACAAAAGTCCAGTATCCACACGGCATATCTCCCACACAAAAGTCCAGTATCCACACGGCATATCACCCACACAAATGTCCAGAATCCACACAGCATATGTTTAACTTGTTGGTTCATTTACCCACGTGAAAGCTTACTACACCAAGTACCCCGTCATGCTGACCACATGACCCACCTAGTGCTGATTGGTCTGTAAAAATGTGGGTGCTCTTCCCATTTGCCCCATGCGGCTAAAGGCGTGAAAAGGTAGCTTTACTTTACTTTTACTTTACTCCCAGTACATTGTTGTTGGTGACTCCATACACATCTTCCTTACCTCCAGGGACAAGAACCTCATGCCTGTCTTTTAAAACGTATCCGTATCCAGCTTCCCCAGCCATTTCCACCACATCATAGACATCGACTGTGATAGCCATGTGGCCTAATTGTGGCCGCTAATGAAAGACTATTAAACACTTATGGTCTGTTCCAGAAGTTTTACGCAACATTAAAAGTCTGTAAGTCAGTCAGTGTTAGGTGTAAGTCAGTCAGTGTTAGGTGTAAGTCAGTCAGTGTTAGGTGTAGGTCAGTAAGTGTTAGGTGTAAGTCAGTCAGTGTTAGGTGTAAGTCAGTCAGTGTTAGGTGTAAGTCAGTCAGTGTTAGGTGTAAGTCAGTAAGTGTTAGGTGTAAGTCAGTAAGTGTTAGGTGTAAATCAGTAAGTGTTAGGTGTAAGTCAGTCAGTGTTAGGTGTAAGTCAGTCAGTGTTAGGTGTAAGTCAGTCAGTGTTAGGTGTAAGTCAGTCAGTGTTAGGTGTAAGTCAGTAAGTGTTAGGTGTAAGTCAGTGAGTGTTAGGTGTAAGTCAGTAAGTGTTAGGTGTAAGTCAGTCAGTGTTAGGAGTAAGTCAGTCAGTGTTAGGAGTAAGTCAGTCAGTGTTAGGTGTAAGTCAGTAAGTGTTAGGTGTAAGTCAGTAAGTGTTAGGTGTAAGTCAGTCAGTGTTAGGTGTAAGTCAGTAAGTGTTAGGTGTAAGTCAGTAAGTGTTAGGTGTAAATCAGTAAGTGTTAGGTGTAAGTCAGTCAGTGTTAGGAGTAAGTCAGTCAGTGTTAGGAGTAAGTCAGTAAGTGTTAGGTGTAAGTCAGTAAGTGTTAGGTGTAAGTCAGTAAGTGTTAGGTGTAAATCAGTAAGTTTTAGGTGTAAGTCAGTAAGTGTTAGGTGTAAGTCAGTAAGTGTTAAGGTGTATGTAATCGCATTTTGGCATGCTGTCTGTTAATAATCATATCCTTGTAAGATTTAAAAAAATTATTAAATAGAAACTAATGTAATCTAGTTTTCATTTATTATTTGCGAGATACGTAAAGACGGACACGAATGTAAAGCAAACAATGAACATACCTTACAGAAATGGGAACTGTTTAAAATGTAAGTTTGCACACGTTTCATAGGCGTCTCACTGTGACGTAGTCAACTCCAGTACTAGTCTCCAGTGAGTTGTTGATTTTTCATTTTATGCTTTACACGCTACGAAAATAATCATACGCATTAGTGCAAATGTGAAAGATCTTCAGACAATCCCCAGGCGTGTGTCAACTACTACATTTTGTGTTTGTGTAGTGTTGTACACATTATTAGTTACACACAGAGCAAAGAAATTCGCCGCTTTGAGAAAATAGTGCACTTGTAAACTATAAAAATTTTAAGGATAAGTGAAATCTTAGGTCACATGCTAAAATTCGTGTCGATCCAAGAACTCAGAAAAATGGGTTTTGTATTTATATTTATCTCACTAACTTTGTCGGAGTGGCGTAACAAAACAGTGGATTGACCGTTCGACCATCTCTGTTCGAAGACACAATGAGAAAGGGATTTAAACAAATAAGCTTGACTCTAAGGCTGTCTCTCTCATTTTCTCCCACCCCCTCACTATTCCACTCTAGCCCTGTTTCTCTCTCTCTCTCTCTCTCTCTCTCTCTCTCTCTCTCTATTTCTCTCTCTCTCTCATATTTTCTCTCACTTCCTCTCTCTGGTTTTCCCTTTTAACTCTCACTATGACACCACACGGCAGTCTTTCGCTGGTTGGATTTGCTTTCGATCGAATTTGACTAAGGTCTGCCGGTGGTTGGATTTGTCTTTGATCGAATTTACTAGGGTCTGTCGGTGGTTGGATTTGTCTTTGATCAATGTTGACTAGGGCCTGCCGCCGGTTGGATTTGCCTCCATGTTTCTCCCCGTAAGATCTGACTTCCATGCTGACGAGAGTCTCTTGTCTATCAGCTTGCTCGTTTCCTTGTACCCCTACATATCCTAGAAAGAAAATGAAACTAATAGCTGTCAGCCGTTAATTCTGTAGAGCCACCAACAGCTGCCTTCGGACCACTCCCTTCTCCATCTTCGTGATCATACTGATCGAGTATCAAGAGATACAAATTCGGCTGGGAAAGCCCGTTTAACCCTATAGTCTGTTTTGTGGTGTTCTCTGGATAACAGAATCGTTAAAACTAATGTCCCAAACCTTAAGATAGATGGTAGGAACATCAACAGAGAGAGCAAACTGAAGTATCTGGGAATTAAATTTGACAGCAGCCTGTCCTTTAAGGACCATGTGGAGAGTGTTGTGACGAGATGCCAAAAAGGATTTAGTGCACTTAAGACTATGGCTGCAATTGACATAGAGCAGAGAATGCTTTTCACCTTATATCAGCACCTGATCCTATCAGTGGTTGATTATGGCCTGGGGCTGCATATCGTCTCAAAGAGTCAGATGGACAAACTAGAGCGCATACAGAACGCGGCTATGCGGGTCATTCTGGGTTGAACCAGAGATACCCCAGTGGTGTGTAGGCGATACATCCTTGGTTTGCCGACGGTTGCATGTAGGCACAAGGTGCTGCAGGCGAAGTTATATCTCAGGGTAGCTGCAGACACAGTCCATCCTCTGCATGAAGCTCTGGGTGCAGTTAAGGGTCAGCGGATGATAAGAGGGAGGTCATGGATGGCTCAGGCAGAAGACACAATCAGACAGGTTTGCATCCTGGAGTACATTAGGCCAGGAGATGAGTGGGTCAAAGTGCCACCTGAACATTCAGACTTGTGTAAAGTCAGAATCACGCTGAGCCGGAAATGCAGAGACTGGCCAGCAGGTGCCATAGAGGTGGAAATTCAGCAATTAATTAAGATAATGCTCGCTCAGAGGATTTGATCTTTTACACTGACTTTTCAGTGTCAAGAGGCAAAAGAAGTGCTTGGGGCTTTTTAGCAAAAGTTAGTGGTCGACGTTTAGTGCAGGAGAGCCTAGCATATGATACCACAACATCCAGCTCAAAAATGGAGGTGGAGGCGGTCACTGCAGCTTTCCGCTGGCTACAGAACACGACACACACACATCGTGATTATAACTGGCTCAGAAAGCATGCTGAGAAAGATCAGGACAGCAAGCTTCGTACAGAGTGGCATGCTTCGCTGCGGAGGACACGGGTGAGGAATATTGTCTGGATTTTTTCACCAGGGCACGCCGGTGTGTTGGGAAATGAACAGGCGGACAGACTGGCTGGCTCTGCACAACTTGGTGGAATGCTGATACATGATAAGGCAGACGTGGTTAGTGCCGTATGAGAGAGCGTGTACAGTTCGGAGGAGCAGATGGATCACCACAGTCTGGTGAGATTGATGCAGTTGGGAGTGACGAGAGGTTCTGGCAGATGCTCGAGGCTCAGAGGAAAGGCAAGACGGACGTTTAATCAGAATGCTACTGGCACCATGAGTATCGGAACTCTTCGCTGGCTGCTGAAGATGGTGACGGAGCGCTTATGGGAATGCCCTAAGTGCCGTGATGTCGGCTCTTGAATCAAATTAAATCAAATCAACCCTATAGCCATATATCACAGTTGTATTGGGGTACGACAAACGGTTATGAAGTAAGCCACAGTCGGCTTAGCTATGATGATATTAAGAACAATCACCGACGGCTGCAGCCACGGGACACTGCCATCTGTGACAGAAGCCCCACGTTTACCGTCAGTATAAATTGTGAGAGGAGAATGGTAAAGAAGACAGCAGGACAGTTGTTGCTAGTTTAGGCCGAAAACCTTCTGGATAATCAGGAAGAACATACGGTAAATTCACTCAGTTTGTGTATTCTGTAATCCCTCGGCTAAGAAAGATAATTCGTAACAGAATCATTTTGTTAGCTGGAAAAAATACTTCGTTAGCCGAAACAGGATTTCCAATAAGTTTCTTAGGAAAATAATTGTATTTCTCTTGAATATGAGCACAAATTAAAGATGTTTCATAAAATAGTAACGTGTACACCTCAAAAGGGCTACAACTCATCACAGGTTGATGTGAACAGTTTCCCAATTACATGCAAGACAATGGAAAGTTGACTGACAAACTTATTTGACTGTATGTCATCAACATCTAACAGTTCCTTCGCAGATCGTCGCTCTCCACATGGTCTGTTTGAAAGAAGCTTGGTCTCTCTCTCTCTCTCTCTCTCTCTCTCTCTCTCTCTCTCTCTCTCTCTCTCTCTCTCCTATTGCATTGTCTTTCCCCAGACGACACATAGAGTGTGTCCATCATCGTGTTGGTCGGTGCATGCCCTCTATCATGGTACCCTGCCTATCGCTACTGATCTGTCCAATCCGCTGTAGCGTGTGACCTCCACTATTTCAGCTTCTGATAGGCGATGCTGTTAACTAGCCAAGTTTCCTTCAAGTTCACATCTGTTAGAATGTCAGTGTTGTTTTATTTTGTTTTTCGTTCTGAAAATCTTTCTATATCATTTCAGCTCAAAAGGCATAACATTTTTTATGAAGGACTTGGAAATCTATGATCCCGTACAATCCTCCTAAAGGACTTGGAGATCCATGATTCCGAACAATCTTCCTGAAGGACTTGGAGATCTATGATTCCGTACAATCTTCCTGAAGGACTTGGAGATCCATGATTCCGAACAATCTTCCTGAAGGACTTGGAGATCTATGATTCCGTACAATCTTCCTGAAGGACTTGGAGATCTATGATTCCGTACAATCTTCCTGAAGGACTTGGAGATCCATGATTCCGTACAATCTTCCTGAAGGATTTGGAGATCCATGATTCCGTACAATCATCCTGAAGGACTTGGAGATCCATGATTCCGTACAATCTTCCTGAAGAACTTGGAGATCCATGATTCCGTACAATCTTCCTTAAGGACTTGGAGATCCATGATTCCATACAATCTTCCTGAAGGGCTTGGAGATCCATGATTCCGTACAATCTTCCTGAAGGACTTGGAGACCCATGATTCCGTACAATCTTCCTTAAGGACTTGGAGATCCATGATTCCGTACAATCATCCTGAAGGACTTGGAGATCTGATTCCGTACAATCTTCCTGAAGGACTTGGAGATCCATGATTACGTACAATCTTCCTGAAGGAATTGGAGATCCCTGACTCCGGGCATATGTTGCTACAGAAAAGATGCATGTTTTCATCATTTTGACATTGATTTCCTTGCTGGTGACTAGCCACTGACGTGTAATACTGTTTATTCTTTGAATGAATGTGATTAACTTTCCTCCTCCGTTGGACTTCTGTTGAACAGATTCCATTTTGTTTATTGTAGAGGCTTGATACAGTGTTTCACCTTTTTCGATTTCTTCATCATTTATTGTCACTTCTGGGTAGCAGACAGTGTTGGTTTGTTAGCATTACTTTTGTGTTCTTTAAATTCAAGAATGGGTTTAAAAAAAAATTTTTTACTGTGTTTTTGACATACATAATACACAATCATACATACATACATTCATAGTAAGTACATAAATTCCATACATCCATACATAATACATACACCCGTCATTAAAAGAATATCGCACTGTAAGTTACAAAAAGAATCAAAAAATAACTTTTCACAAAGAAAACAAAGTGTAGAATTCAACAAATAAATGCTCGGAACATAATTTGACCTTATCAACAGGCTACTTTGAGTTCAAGGTCTGCGCCAGAGAACACCCGGATGTCCACGAGACCCAAGAGTGCTTTGACCTTCACCTTCTGCAGCTGGCAGACGGTTCTGGCTCCAGGTACTACCCAGGTGGAAGCAGCATGATCTACATCAATGTCTCCCTACCCGAGGACCTCAGCTGCAATTTCTGTGTGCTGCAGTGGCGTTATCACACAGGTGTGTATGTGTCGGAGTCTCTGGTTGATCCAATTTCGTTATGTAACATGTTGTGTGCAGAACATCAGGCAGATTCGCGTCACAGGTGTCTGTACGATATCGAGCCATGGGTAATTGCCAATTAATGCCTTTATTATACCACATTTGAGTTGTCGGTCGAGGGGTCTTTGAGCCTGAGGGTTTATGGCCGCATGGCTAGTGCTGTCGCCCCGACTGTGCAGGTGAGGATTTGATTTTGCCCCCGACAGAAAAAAATCCCTAGCCTTACCCAGGATTCGAACCACAGTCCCCCGCTTGAGAGCTAAATGTTCTAACCGTTCGGCCAGCTGCTTCTCAACCATGGGTAAGCTCTCGTGGACTCACTGCACGTACACCCCCCCCCCCCACTCCTTCCCCCACCACCCTTTCCTGGTCACAAAACATATAATCTCTACAACAGTGTTATGTACTACGTTCCCACCCCCTCACAACACCCTCCTCCTCCTTTCAAAGTATTGTGATGCTAACCATGTATGTTAAGTGGATAAATGAATTAAAGATTAAAGAAACATTCGTTATATCAACAATTCTTCTTCTTCTTCTTTCTTAGGTCCCTTTTCCCCGCTTTTAGGCGTATAGAGCAAATAGGGCTAAACCTATATTATTTTAAACCGATCGGCACAAGATGGATTATGTGGTCAGCATCACCCGGCCGCCTTTACTTCCCAGGACTGTACCCGGTATTTACTCAAGGCTGAGTCGACCTGGGAGTCAAGGTTTAAAAAAAAAAAGTCTGGCTCCGCCAGGGAACGAACCCACGACCTTCCGATCCGCACTTGAGCGTCTAACAGCTACGCCACAGCGACTCAATTATAACAATTACAAACTAACTTTCACATTAGGAGTTGAATTCATCGATTTAACACAGAGAGTGAGCTACAAGGAAGGAACCAGGGCGCTTTGACGCACCATCGCTGGAATTAAAAACTGAATGCTTTTCTTCAACAATCATCAATTAGCACTGAAGTTCAATAGCACGATGCAATTAACACTTCTTAGCCAACATATTTAGCACCGAAAAACCAGACCACAATTATAGCGGCTTCTGCTTGCAATAGGTTAAAAGTGTTTGAAGTTTTGTGTGGTTTTTTTCACATAGATGAATGAATGAATGGATGCACTTTATGCTCACTGTGCATTGACGTAGATGATAACATAACATAATATTATAACACTGTTATTCTTGTCGGCAGGAAACAGCTGGGGAGTGGGTCCTGAAGGTGGATGTATTGGTTGTGGACCCCAAGAGGGGTTCTATGGCTGTGCAGATTTCCGTATCATTCCTAGCAACGCTTCCCAGCCCAATCCTGCGTCATCTAGCACCAATCAAACGTCCACCATAGCACCTGTTACAAACCCAGCTGGGCCGACCCCTGTTACGAAACCAGCAAATCCCACCCCGAGGATGCCCACAAACTGCGAAGCAAAGTATCGTCAAACATCTTTGAACAGCTGGTGTCAGGAGACCTGCCAGAAAGGCTACTGTAATAAAAGGCATTGCACTTGTCCAGATGCTGACCAGAAAACTCCGCGAGTTTGTAAGCCGAAGCCCAACAGCTCACAGACCACTGACCGCTGTACGGTCAACTGTGTGGCCGGATATTGTCCTCATTCTAACTGTGATTGTTTCTAACCACCCTTGACATCTGGTGACATCTAGGTGTCATCTGGTAACATCTAGGTGACATCTGGTAACATGCAGGTGACATCTAGGTGACATCTGGTGACATGTAGGTGACATCTGGTGACATGTATGTGACATCTATGTGACATCTGGTGACATGTAGGTGATATCTGGTGATATCTGATGACATGTAGGTGACATCTGGTGACACCTAGGTGACATTTGGTGACATCTGGTGGCATGTATGCGACATCTGGTGACATCTGGTGACACGCAGATGACATCTGGTGACATGTAGGTTACATCTAGCGACATGTAGATGGCATGTAGGTGACATCTGGTGACATTTAGGTGACATATGGCGGCATGTAGGTGACATCTGATGACATGTAGGTGACATCTGGTGATATGCAGGTGTTATGTAGATGACATCTGTGACATGTAGGTGACATCTAGTGACATGTAGGTGACATCTGGTGACATGTAGGTGACATCTGGTGGCCTCTGGTGACATGTAGGTGGCATCTGGTTACACGTAGGTGGCATCTGGTGACATGCAGGTGACATCTGGTGACACGTAGGGGACATCTGGTGACATGTAGGTGACATCTGGTGACATGTAGGTGACGTTTGGTGACATCTGGTGACATCTAGGTAACATTTGGTAACATCTGGTGACATGTAGGTGCATCTAGGTGTCATCTGGAGACATGTAGGTGACATCTAGGTGGCATGTAGATGACGTCTGGTGACATCAAGGTGACATTTGGTGACATCTGGGGACACGTAGGTGACATTTAGTGACATCTGGTGTTATCTAGGTGACATTTGGTGACATCTGTGACATGTAGGTGCATCTAGGTGACATCTGGTGACATGTAGGTGACATATAGGTGACATCTAGGTGACACCTGGTGACATCTGGTGATAACCGGTGACATCTAGGTGTTATCCGGAGGGTTTAGTTTTCCTGTCTGAGACGGTGGAACAACAGGTCAATAAATTGTCTGTCCAGCGTGAAATACATTTTAGCTGTTGAAACTGCTAGAACAAGTATTCAGTAAAGTGTATTTTGTAATAAAATCTCTCTCTCTAACTTTGAAAAAGTTGCGTAACACAGAAGTGACTGACCACTTGACCATCTGTTTTCGAAGACACAATGAGAAAAGGATAAAAAAAATATACTTGAAAATGAAGCTGTCTCTCTCTTTCACTCTCTCTTCCACTCACTTTTCCACTTGTTCCCTCTCTCTTACATGTTCTCTTACTTCCCCTCTCCGTCTCTCTCCTCTTTCACTCACTGGCGCTCCCATTCCTCTCTGGCGCTCCCATTTGTCTCTGACGCTCCCTTTCCTCCCTGGCTCTCCCTTTCCTCTATAGTGCTGCCTTTCCTCTCTAGTGCTCACTATCATCTCTAGTGCTCCCTTTGCTCTCTGGTGCTCCCTTTCTTCCCTGGCTCTCCTTTTCCTCTCTAGTGCTCCCTTTCCTCTCTAGTGCTCCCTTTCCTCTTTAGTGCAGCCTTTCCTCTCTAGTGCTCCCTTTCCTCTCTGGTGCTCCCTTTCCATTTCTGGAGCTCCCTTTCCTCCCTGACTCTCTCCTTTCATTCTCTGTCGCTCCCTTTTCTCCCTGGCTCTCCCTTTCCTCTGTAGTGCTCCCTTTCCTCTTTAGTGCAGCCTTTCCTCTCTAGTGCTCCCTTTCCTCTCTGGTGCTCCCTTTCCATTTCTGGAGCTCCCTTTCCTCCCTGACTCTCTCCTTTCATTATCTGTCGCTCCCTTTTCTCCCTGGCTCCCCCTTTCCTCTCTGGTGCTCCCTTTCCTCTTTGGTGCTCCCTTTCGTCTCTGGTGCTCCCTTTCCTCTCTGACTCTCTCCTTTCACTCGCTGGCACTCCCTTTCCTATCTGAAGCTCCCTTTCCTCTCTGGACTTCCCCTTCACTCTTTGGCGCTCCCTTTTCTCTCTGGTGCTCCCTTTCCTCTCTGGCGCTCCCTTTCCTCTCTGGTGCTCCCTTTCCTCTCTATTGCTCCCTTTCCTCTATGATGCTCCCTTCTCTGGTGCTCCCTTTCACTCTATGGTGCTCCCTTTCCGTTCCAGTGCTCCATTTTCTCTGTGGCGCTCCCTTTCCTTATATGGCGCTCACTTTTACCCTCTGGCGCTCCTTTTTCTCAACTACGCTTCCCTTTTCTCTCTGGTGCTCACTCTCTGGCGCCCCCTTTGTTCTCTGGTGCCTCTTTCACTCTCTTGAGCTCTCTTTCCTCTCTCACGCTCCATTTTCTCTCTAGCGCTCCCTTTCACTCTCTGTCGCCCCCTTTCCTCTCTGGCGCTCTCTTTCCTCTCTGGCGCTCCCTTTCCTCTCTGGTTCTCTCTTTCACTCTCTGGTTCTCCCTTTCCTCTCTGGTTCTCTCTTTCACTCTCTGGCGCTCCCTTTCCTCTCTGGTTCTCTCTTTCACTCTCTGGCGCTCCCTTTCCTCTCTGGTTCTCTCTTTCACTCTCTGGCGCTCCCTTTCCTCTCTGGTTCTCTCTTTCACTCTCTGGCGCTCCCTTTCCTCTCTGGTTCTCTCTTTCACTCTCTGGCGCTCTCTTTCACTCTCTGGCGCTCCCTTTCCTCTCTGGTTCTCTCTTTCACTCTCTGGCGCTCCCTTTCATCTCTATCGCCCCCTTTTCTCTATTTCGCACTTTTTCCTCACTAGCGCTCCCTTTCCTCTGTCGCTCCCTTTCCTCTCTGGTGCTCCCTTTTCTCTCTAGCGCTTACTTTCACTCAGGTGCTCACTTTGCTCTCTGGTGCTCCATTTTCTCGATTGTGCTCTACTTCACTCATTGGTGCTCTATTTCCTCTCTGGCGCTCACTTTCCACTCTCCTTCTCCCTTTGTGCCCTCGTTCTCTCTGGTGCTCCCCTTCCTCTCTGTTGCTCTCTTTCACTATCTGGTGCTGTCTTTCCTCTCTAGAGCTCCATTTCCTCTCTGACGCTCCCTTTCACTCTCTGGTGCTCTCTTTCACTCTCTGGCGCTCCTTTTTCTCTCTGGCTCTCCCTTCCTCTCTGGCAATTCCTTTCCTTTCTGTTGCTTCCTGTCCTTTCTGGCGCTCCCTTTTACCTCTGGCGCTCCCTTTTACTCTCTGGCGCTCCCTTTCCTCTCTGGTGCACCCTTTCCTCTCTGGTGCTCCCTTTCCTCTCTGGCGCTCCCTTTCCTCTGTGTCGCTCCCTTTCCTCTCTTACGATCCCATTCCTCTTTGGCGCTACCGTTCCTCTCTGGTGTACTCTTTCACTCTCTGGTGCTCCCTTTCATTTCTGGCGCCCCCTTTTACTCTCTGGCGCTCCTTTTCCTCTCTATCGCTCCCTTTCCTCTCTGGCGCTCCCTTTCCTCTCTGGCGCTACCTTTCCTCTTTGGCGCTTCTCTTCCTCTCTGGCGCTCTCTTTCCTCTGAGTGTATGTTAATTGACTGTGTGTTGAGTGTATGTTTACAGACTTTGTGTTGTGTGTATGTTGATAGACTGTGTGTTGAGTATATGTTGACAGACTGTGTGTTGAGTATATGTTTAAAGACTGTGTGTTGAGTGTGTATAATAGACTGTGTGTTGATTGTATTTTGATAGACTGTGTGTTGAGTGTATGTTTAAAGACTCTGTGTTGAGTGTATGTTTAAAGACTGTGTGTTGAGTGTGTGTAATAGACTGTGTGTTGATTGTATTTTGATAGACTGTGTGTTGATTGTATTTTGATAGACTGTGTTTTAAGTGTGTTGATAGACTGTGTGTTGAGTGTATGTTGATAGACTGTGTGTTGAGTGTATGTTTATAGACTGTCTGTTGGGTGTATGTTACAAATGTTGTAGCCGTGTAAATCGTCTTTGAATTATTACCCTTGCCGTCACACCCACACACACAGTTACCACTGGGCACGAGCGAATGAACACCCATGTTTTATTGACACAACAGAGAAACAACAAACATCAAAGAAATCAACATATCGAGCATGAATCTGAAACAACAACAAAACCAGTAAACCCAGACAAGACACGCTGCAGCATTCACTTACTTTTAGTATCGGATCGGATGTACACGTGGGCGCAGTGACCTTTATGTAGGAGGGCTGCTAGGGGAGGGGATTAGGCCCTTTTTCAGCCTCAGCCCTTAAAATGAAATAGCATTTTAGTGAAGCAGCTGAATCACAGTATCATTCTCCTTCCCCTTCCCCCGCCGCCCCTCCCCAAAGAAAATTAGGGAGGTTAATCTGCATCGCTCCTGGCTCCCCACCAACCTTCCCACCAACTCACCCCTGCAAACTGCAGAAGAACGTCTTGTTTTGAGTATTTATTTTAATATATCTTATTTTTATATATAATTTTTTTAACGACTGGGCATATTAATATTATTATTATTATTATTATTCATAAAACACTGATGCCGATAAGCGGCACATAGAGGAATAAAGTGCGATCTATTGTACGATCTATTGAAGATTGTCATCCTGGCTGCGAATCTTGATGTCACAGGATTGGTTTAATAGCAGGTAGCGGCCAAGTTATGTCTACTTTTTTCCTTCTCCTCTGTTTCATTTAAAACATTAAATCTACTTCTCACTTGCGGAGCCATATCCATCGCCGCCTCTACTCCACGGTCATAGTCTACCTTTATCCTGTGTTTTATCTACAGCGAAAAAAGAACATTTCTCTGTTATGCTACTTTTCCTTGGGTTGTACATCTTTCTCTGTTGTAGTAGGGTAGTTTCGGGTCCTAAATCTCCGATGTTTAATCTACATGGTATGTGTAATGCTTTTGTTGTTCGCCTGTAGTTGTTACCTACTTCTCGATGCTTGCACAAATACATGTAAGCTCTCTATGTTCACTTGTAAGCTCTCTGTGTTCACTTGTACGCTCTCTATGTTCACTTGTAAGCTCTCTATGTTCACTTGTAAGCTCTCTATGTTCACTTGTACGCTCTCTATGTTCACTTGTATGCTCTCTATGTTCACTTGTAAGCTCTCTATGTTCACTTGTACGCTCTCTATGTTCACT